CCCAAGACCCCTTGATTAAGGAATATACCTTAAATCAAAGTATCAAGGTCCCTATAATTTAGGGTATATTCCTAAACCCTAAACCCTTCTAGATCCCTCTAAGGCCCCTTAAAAGGTACATCCCTTATCTAAGGAATATTGGGCTCTCTGGGTATCAGGGATACTTGGAGGATCATGGGACTTAGTAAGTAAGCTTATAAGTACCCTAATTGGGGTTATAATTGTAGTTACCTTATTTATAACCCTAGACCCTAAACCATAAACCCTAAACCCTAAACCCTAAATAGAGCCTGGAGAGATGGTGGGGTGCCCAGACGAGGAATCTTTGTCGGGCGTTGGCTTTGGGTTTTGGGTTTAAAGGGTTTAGGGTTTGGGGTTTAAAGGGTTTGGGGGTTTGGGGTTTAGGTTTTAGGGTTTAAAGGGTTTAGGGTTTAGGGGTTTAGGGCTTTAGGGTTTAGCGTTCGGTGGCTAGAGTTCAGGACTCCATATGCAGTGTCCAGCATGTTGTTCGTGTGTTGATGTGTTTGAGTTATTTGTTTGTGTTTTGTGTTTGCTGCTCTACGTATGCATAATTACATAAGTACGTAGATATAGACCTAGGCTGAATAGAGACACATGGCTATACGCATACATATACCAAGACATGTAGCTGCCAAGCCTGAAAAACGACCAAAACCTGCTAAACCTTCAACTCCTAAACCCTAAACTCCTAAACTCTAAACCGTAAAACCTTAAACTCCTAAACCCTAAACTCTAAACTCCTAAACCCTAAACCTTAAAGCCCTAAACTCCTAAACATTCAGCTCCTAAACCCTAATCCCCACACCCGTTTAGGGTTTAGGGTTGAGGGTTTAGGGAACCCTAAACCCTAAACCCTAAACCCTAAACCCTAAACCCTAAACCCGAGTCCGTCGACAGGTCCGACTCAGGATCCATCCGCTACTCGCGCAAGTCGACGATGTCGCTGCAGTCTCTGTCGATGGGCTCCATGGTATCTGGCGCAAGCCTCAGGGTTTAGGGTTTAGGGTTTAGGGTCATGGGTGTCAGTAGGGTGTAGAGTTCAGGGGTTTCGTGAAGGTTCAATGTTTTGCGGTTTAGGGTTTAGGGTACCTAAACCCTAAACTCTAAACCCTAAACCCTAAGCCCTAAACCCTAAAGCCTCAGCCCGAAACCCGGGGTCTAGAGTCTCCAGTTGTTGCTTTGGGCTCTTGGGGGCTGGTGGTTCATCTACAGTTGTTAAGGGCTTCACTTGGAGCTTAGAGGTTTTCTTTTAGGGTTTAGGGTTTAGGGTTCAGGGCTTCGCTTGGAGCTTACAGGTTGTCTTTTGCGGTTTCTGGGGGCTTCGTTCGGCTTTCGTTGGGAGTGTCGTGATTGTTAGAGGGGCCTTGATAATTACCTATACTATTTGTGGGGGTTTCTTATTATAGTTGCTGTATATTGAGCCATCAATTGGGTGTGTCTTTAGGCCTTCCCCCCACCCAAGACTCCATTCTTATGGATCCTGTATCATAGATAGGGTTTAGGGTTTAGGGTTTAGGGTTTAGGGTTTAGGGAACCCTTATAGTAACCCTGACACTGATGAAACCCCCTTAGAGGGGCCCTAAAACTACAGGAACCCTCGTTTAGTTATTGATCCCAAGGGTTTACGGTGTAGAGAAGCTGTAACAGACTCTAACCCTGAATAACTAGAGGCGGAATCCTCGTTCTTCTCAGCCTTCCGGAGCCTCTTGAAACGTTAATACAATAACCGTTATGAAGCCTCACCAAACCTTAAACCCTACACCCGAACCTCTAAATCTTAATATCTCGAAGTAAACCGAAACCCTAAACACGAAGTTGTCCTAAATTTAAACCCTGAAAACATCGGATAAAAGTTCCTTGGAGTCACAGGAACTTCCACTCTGACCATCACCATGCGCAACGCCTGGTGCACGGTGACTTGGCAGAGCCTGAGGGAATATGGAAGGGTTCCGGGTTTAGGGTTTAGAGCAGTATAGAAGCCTGAATAATTACCAATCTTATTCCATAGGGTTCCTTCTCATGTTTCTACTATAGTAAACCACCAAAACCAACTCTCTTCTAATCACAGTTGCCCCGATAGTGGGGCTTTTGAGTTTAAGGTTTGGGCTTGACCGGTCTAGTCCGTCGGATATTAGGGTAGGGTGTTGGGGTTAGTCCTAAACCCTAAACCCCGAACCTTGAACCGGATTTGTCACGGATTCAGAGTGGAGGCTGTTGGGTGTCAGACTTCTGGGCTGTAGGGCCTGGGGTCAAGATGCTCCTGCAATAGTCTTCGGTATCCTCCCTAAACCCTAAACCCCCAAAC